TTCCTTCTTTTTTACTCTGCTGTTTTCTCTCGTCCATGATCTTAATCACCTCTTCAAGCAGTGGTTCATCCTTGTGCATAGAATAAAAATGTCTGGTTTAGACTAAACCCTTAAGCGAGTCTTCATTGGAGAGGTTATGACGTGACGTGAGGTGATGCGCATCGAGAGAGGTGAGGGGTTGGAAGAGAAGAGTTTAAAACAACGAGCCTGCGAAATAGAACTGGAAGAGGGCTCGCGGCGGCCAGTCCCGACGGGTGGTCGTTGCCCAGCCCCGTTGTCGCTTTTGGGTAAGCGAGGCAGCGGGGTAACGTCGCACTGTCCGGTCCCGGTTCCTACTAGGTCATTAGTGCAACAGCGTGGTGGCGGCAGTTAATAAGTTGGATATAAAAGTTATAGTTTCCCTGCCCTAAACTCGAGCAGGGGACGGCAGCGGCGGGGTCACCAGGACCAGGGGCCGGGGCGTGCGAGAGGCGAGGCGCGGCCCTGCAGTGCATGCGGCCTATTGACGCCCGCGGCCCCCCTCGCTCTCCCCGAGCCGGTCGGACCAGCCAGGCGGAGAACCCTGCTGGAGCATAAGGGTGGAAAAGACCTTGCATATTGCTCGTGGTGAACTCGTCCTCGTTTCCTCGGCGGTGGTTTTTGCGGGTCGGTTCCACGGCGCGCCTGTTGACCGGATGCCGCGGCGTCTTTATCATCAGCATAGATTGCTGCAGCTTCCGCCCCAATAAAAACAGAAACAGTGTTATCGACAGGTGTGGTGTGAAAGTTGGTCCATCGCATTAGCAGGATTCAATTTGTTAATGCTTTTATTACTTACCAAATGGCACGAGTCCATTTAACCTTTTGCCCTTGCCCAGGGCAGTGAAATAGCAGGGCGCCTGCTGGGTATGGACCGAGGCCACCCCTGGAGCATTAAAAGAATCGAACAGGTCCATCTGTAACAGGCGCTATCCACGCCAAAAAGACGTAAAAATTTCGACCTGCGTTTTATTCGCGAAATATGTAGCCCTTGAGTAGCTGCACCAGATGCTACAATCCGTTTTGTGATATCTCAAACGGTGTCGCGTCAGGAGCGTTGAGAACAAGGCCCTCCGCCCCACCACCAAGTGACCCTCGGGACGCCTTTCCGCCCGCGGCTGTTTCGGTGCTCAGCAGCCTGTTTGAATCCGCGCGCCCATCAGCTGGCAGCCAATGGCGAGCCGAGCCTGGCAACACAAGAGGCCTCAATCAGTTTTCGTGAATTTTCTATGTCATCCCATCGAGATTCTAACTTAAATTTTTGTGTGTGCGTACGTAATGTGCTCACGGATGTGGGACCGTCGAGATTTTTTTGGGCACTCTGTAGCGTTTGAAGCAAATAAAGAAGATAAATAACGGGTCCTGCGCCTCCTAAATGTCCTTTTATCTCTTGTATTATTTGACATATATAAAATTGGACAGAGGCGATGGAAAGCCCTCACCTTGTACCATGACGCTGCACAGGTCGCTCTTCCGCAGGGCGGGCGCGCGCGGCGCCGCGGGCGGAAAGGCGTCCCGAGGGTCACTTGGTGGTGGGGCGGAGGGCCTTGTTCTCAACGCTCCCGACGCGACACCGTTTGAGATATCACAAAACGGATTGCAGCACCTGGTGCAGCTACTCAAGGGCTACATATTTCGCAAATAAAACGCAGGTCGAAATTTTTACGTCTTTTTGGCGTGGATAGCGCCAACAGGCAACAAGTCATACAAATAGGCGGGACACTAGAGGGCGGCAAAAAAACTGAAGGTTAAAAAAGTTAGGGGAGGTGCTCGGATCGAGATGCCACTTGCAAAACTAAAATTTTTGGCACCTCACTCAACTTGATCGGACATCGACAAAAGGTCGCACCACGCT